GTGGCAGCCATAGTATGATCCACCCCCTCTGTCAAACCCAGGGCTGGGAGGCTTGCTCCCGGATGCAGAGACCAAACTTTCCAGCATTGTAGACTTTGTAGGAGGTATTGATGAGAAATCTGATGCGGTTCAATAAGGATAAGTGCAGGGTCCTGCACTTAGGACGGAAGAACCCAATGCACCGCTACAGACTAGGGACCGAATGGCTAGGCAGCAGTTCTGCGGAAAAGGACCTAGGGGTGACAGTGGACGAGAAGCTGGATATGAGTCAGCAGTGTGCCCTTGTTGCCAAGAAGGCCAATGGCATTTTGGGATGTATAAGTAGGGGCATAGCGAGCAGATCGAGGGACGTGATCGTTCCCCTTTATTCGACATTGGTGAGGCCGCATCTGGAGTACTGTGTCCAGTTTTGGGCCCCACACTACAAGAAGGATGTGGATAAATTGGAGAGAGTCCAGCGAAGGGCAACAAAAATGATTAGGGGTCTGGAACACATGACTTATGAGGAGAGGCTGAGGGAACTGGGATTGTTTAGTCTGCGGAAGAGAAGAATGAGGGGGGATTTGATAGCTGCTTTCAACTACCTGAGAGGTGGTTCCACAGAGGATGGTTCTAGACCATTCTCAGTGGTAGAAGAGGACAGGACAAGGAGTAATGGTCTCAAGTTGCAGTGGGGGAGGTTTAGGTTGGATATTAGGAAAAACTTTTTCACTAGGAGGGTGGTGAAACACTGGAATGCGTTACCTAGGGAGGTGGTAGAATCTCCTTCCTTAGAAGTTTATAAGGTCAGGCTTGACAAAGCCCTGGCTGGGATGATTTAATTGGGGATTGGTCCTGCTTTGAGCAGGGGGTTGGACTAGATGACCTCCTGAGGTCCCTTCCAACCCTGATATTCTATGATTCTATGATTCTATTCCAGAGGTGGAAGTGGGAAACAGCCATTTGCTGAGAAGTGCTCCTGCAGTGAGCCAACAGAGTTCCTGGTGGAAATCAGCTCAGAAATGAATGCTTGTCCACGTATTACTTCCCTGCCATACTTCCTACCTACTCATTAGACAGGGAAGGAAAGCCAATAGCAGAATGGCTACCCTGGGTGCTGGGTTGCCATGAGACAGAGAAAACCAGGGTCTCCAGAGATGGAGTATCATTTCCCTGTGTACACTGCTGGGCTACCAGACTTCGCCACTTACTCCCCCTCCACACGGTCTAAAACATCTCCCCCTTGAGGGAACGGTGTAGTGGAAAATATGTGAGGAAATCTTTGCAGAGTTTCAAACATACCTTGTTCACATCAGTGGCTTTTTCTTCAAGAGCGGGACAGTCTGGCCAAAAGTATACTATGCAAAATCTTGAGGGATATACAAATCCACCATACTTTTAAGTGACAGCACTGTATAACTCTCTAGGCACTTGCACTGGTATGTAAGTAGTTGTGCCCCTGACATTGCAACGGCGCTATATCTTCAGTGAACCAAGGCTTTTATGATTGACTGTTAGTAGAATCTAGCATTCTCTATGGGCAGTCAACCCCACAAATTCTGTCTTCTGATTAAACTTAGTAGACCCACCAGTTTTGATAAGTTTCAGAGTAGCAGCTGTGTTAGTCTGTATTGGCAAGAAGAAAAGGAGTACTTGTGGCACCTTAGAGACTAACCAATTTATTTGAGCATAAGCTTTCGTGAGCTACAGCTCACTTCATCGGATCCGATGAAGTGAGCTGTAGCTCACGAAAGCTTATGCTCAAATAAATTGGTTAGTCTCTAAGGTGCCACAAGTACTCCTTTTCAGTTTTGATAACAGAGCCTGAGGTACAATACTGAGATCTATCATGGCTACCCATATCAATCAGTCCAATTTAATTTTTTCAGGGGACACGGACTGCGCTGGGGATGATGGATGTTCTTGAAGATCTGATAAGCCTACTTTGAGAGAACATCTCAAGGGCTTGTAGAGAACAAGCGATTATCAGTACTGATGAATGTTGCCTTTCATCAAAAATTAGGGTCTCATTAGTAGTCCTTGTAGCAGCTGATGATGATAGATGCTTTCAACAGATGACCTTTTTTTTTTTTTTTTTATATATCTTGGAGATACTGTCTGCTCTGATTATGAGTTGGCTGTTTTCAGTTGAAAGACTCCTTGGCAAAATGTGGGTTACAGTTTTTTAATAGGATGTATTATCACAGCCTGTCTTATACCACTGCATTCATTGATGAGTCAGCGGTTGCAATTAAAAATGATATTTTAAAGAGATGGGCTCGTGTCATCCAATCTTCTTCCAAAATTCAGGGGGATTCATGTCCAGGGTTTTGGCTCAGATCATTACAGAGCTCTAATATTTTATAGAGTTTAGCACAGCTGGTAAGATATTTCCTGTTGTACACATGGCATGCAAAGTTTCTGCTCAAGATTGAATATTTTTTTCAAGCAAATCTGAGAAAACAATTCATTTGTGAAGAAGTAAGTAGCTGCTTCAGACCAGTGTTTCCTCCTCCAGCTCAAACAGCATTTCATTTATAACCTACTTCGTGTGGGTGCCAAGCAATTTACGCTGCTGCTTAATGTGGGAAATTGGATATATGCTAAGAAAATCTGATTCACTCTAAATTGCTTATGTTAAAGTTGATTAGATGAGAACTCTATTTATAATGAATAATTCCTAAACTTTTACCACTTTGCAGTGGTGTGTTTCTCTTATCTAATTGATTGTGAATCTCTATTTCAGATATAAGAAAGTTATTGTTTTTGTTTTGTTTTGCCAGAAACAATTTAACACCTGCTCTATTGCTTTTTGTTTGCCCTCTGATTTATACACAGAATTAATTCTACTTGTTAAGGCACATACTGAAAGTCAGCACACGTTGTAGCTCTTATTCGGATGTATAAAGTGCTCAGAAAATAACTGCTTCCAAGCATAGATGAGAATGAAAGATGACATGCCTGGAATATTCGCAGATGACATCCAGGTTGCACAAAATGCAATTCTGGTTAGAGAGCCAAATCCCGTAAACTGCTCAAAGCCCACTGTGGCCAACTCTTGTGACTTTATCACGAGTTTTGTCATATTTGGTGTCTTTCTTGATCTCTCAGCTCCTTGAATCATTTAATTAGGTGAGAAATACAACTGTCATTCCAAAAAATAAATTTCTAACCCTGATGCACAGAAGTTTAAAAATGTGAAAGGGTCAGAAACCAGAAGTTAAATGAAATTAACTCAATATTTATTATTTTAAAAATATCTCATGATTTGAAACTAGGATGACCAGATGCCCTGACATTAGGGACTTTGTCTTACATAGGACCCTATTATCTCTTCCCCCTCCCCTCCAGTCCTGATTTTTCGCACTTGCTATCTTGCTCTCTATTTGAAAACAATCATGATTTTGGGGGGCCTGAGTCATGATTTTTGATTGTTTTGGGTAGTACTGAAAACCCAAGAACGTGGCCTAGGGCAGGCATTCTCTACTAAGAAAACCTGCACTACTGCCATCCTAAGGGCTTGTCTCCACTGGCAATTTAAAGCACTGCAACTTTCTTGCTTGGGATGTGAAAAAACACCCCCCTGGAGCACAGCAAGTTTCAGTGCTGTAGAGCACTAGTGTTGACTGTGCACCAGCCCTGGGAGCTACACCCCTTGTGGAGGGTTTTGGGGTTATTTTAGAGCGCTGGGAGAACTCTCTCCCGGCACTGCGCTGCAACCGCACAAGCCACGTTAAAGCACTGCCAGTGTAGACTAGCCCTAAGTCTCTGTGTCTACCTACCGTAACCTTTGTAACTCCTCAGGCTGCAGTCGCATGCTGTGTGTGTGGGTACACATCCCTGTATACGAGGAATGACCAGTGGATCTAGACTGAACTACTTCATATCTATACAGGTTTCAGGGGTCCTGCCTTTCATTCTACATGCACACACATAGCTTCTTTGGTGTCCAGGGCCTTCCATGCTTGGGTGTGTGTATTTGTGTGTTAAAGTGAGGAAGAAGATTGCCTTCCTCTGCAACCTCCACAGAACATAACAATGGGGCAAATGATGTCACTGAGATATTTCACTGTATTTGGCATTAGCAGATTAAACTGAAATTTGACGGGCAATTTGTAAAAAGATTCTATAAACCCAAGAGCCTTCTTCAGTTTCCTGAATTTAGCCGGCCGTTTGTCAAAAGTATATTGATTCTTTAGTTTTTTTTCGGATAGCGGTTGGAAGTTTTTAAGTTGCTTTTTTCTAAGTGTTCCTTATTGGGTTTATCAGCTTATCTTCTTTAGAAATGCATTTTTCATACATGGGACAAGCTTTTTCCACTAACTCTTACACATTTTGCAAAGGTCCACATACTTCTAAGTTGGTACAGAAACAAAAATAATAACAAGGGTTTTTTGCTTGGGGATGTAATATTAATGAGTGGGTTTTGTTGTGCACTTTAAAAAATGTTAATATTATAATTCATAACCTGTATGATTTGAGACATGAAACTTTAAAACTTAAACTGTTTTTGCAAGAACAGTATTGGAAAAGCAACATGATATAAGGAAGCCCAATGATCAGTCTCTTTCCCTCCGCCCCCCTTCCCCCCCCCCGCACATACTCTTTAGGGTATGTGCAATGTCATGTCTCCAATAGAGTACGTCTGTGTGCTGCATGGAGCAGGAACTGGTAATTATGCACTGTCGGAACTCTATGGATCTATAAAAGGAGACAAAATAGGTAAACAATAGTAATGTGTTGAGATGCCACCTGCTCTCGTTTATTTGGGACATTTGGTAGGTTGAGCATACGCTCACTGAACTCATCGATAAGCACAGCAGCAGGTCTAAAAGAATAGGGCAGTAACGTTGTTTAAAATAAAATTTGCAGACTGCTTTAAAAGCTACGATATGTCTAACTGATGTCAGCCAATAGTTTGGTTACTGGAATCCTTAACTGTTTCCTCTTTGTTGCTTGTTGCATGTACTTTCCATTCTTTTGGACAATGATTAATTGTTGTGTCCTTTTTGAACTCCTAGGTGCAGAAGTGTTGTATATGAATATGACTGCTTATAATGAAGGTCGCCTTCAATCATCATTCTGGATTGTTGATAAACAGCATGTATACATTGGAAGTGCCAGCTTAGACTGGAGGTCATTGGGACAGGTAATTTTATTGATGAATGAAAAACCAGATTTACTTTATACTTTTAATGTAAATCTACACCAAAGAAAAATATAGTAGAAAAATGTAACTTGCTTATTATTTTTAAATATATAACTTTATTTGGGGTAAGAATAAATAGGTGGCTATTTTGCCTATATGGAAGAGTGGCTGTCTTGCTGTAAGTCATACTTCTTTGCACAGTGAAACCTGCCATTAACAGTCACTTAAGGGCAGCAATTCCTCCTAGAAGAGGAGGCATTAAACCACAAGCAAATTAAATCATACTGGAAATCTTGGCTTTACATTGCATCAAGCCTGCAGTCCTTACTCAGATAAAACTCCCGCTGATTTCAGTGATGAATTTGACTGAGGAAAGAGTGCAGGTACAGGCCCATTCATAAAAAGTTGGAAGATCACCCACTGGGATTTCCTTTTAGAGTTTATCCATAATGGAAGCTCCTCTGTAACATTTCGAGCATGAACCAATTTTGTTCGTTGTTCAAGTCTGCAAACTAGATACAGTAAGACTGAAATTGGGAAGTTCTTTCCCATATAGTGAGTCTGATCCTGAAAAAATTCAATGTGTGGAGTTCCTGACGGTTTCAGCGGAAGTTACATGCACAGAGAAGTTGTAGCATGAAACCCAGAGTTTGTATGTGTGTTAGAGCCAAACAATACAAAGCTTATAAATAAGCACCTCTTCATCAGTATATCAGTGCTGTGAATTCCCTAATTTTGAGAGAGACTCTTTTTCAAAATTGTTTTGAAGAAGCAACATGCTATTTACAAAGCCAGTCTGTCTTCTGAAGATTTCTGTAGTAAACAGTTTTTATAGTCCACCTGTTAATGCACCTTTTTTGCAGTAGTTGTCTGTTGAAATCATAAAAAGGTAGTAACATTTTTTCTGTGTTCATGGGAGTTTTACATGCAAATTCCTGTGTGTCAAGAATAGCAAAAATGCCAATATTGATTGTGTACCTTTGCCTTCTATTGGTGGAACCAGAATTGCTCAGCTGTGTGCCATTGGTCTTGTACTTTTTAAAAGCTAATATAGACTTTCCTTCAGCTCAAGAGATAGGGGACTGTGCTTTTGGAGCTAGGTAGTCTGAATTTATCCCCAGTGTCATCCTGGAGCTATAGGTAACCAGGATATGCAGCATGGTTTAAACCAGAGGTTCTCAAACTGTGGTCCGTGGACCACCAGTGATCCGTGAGCTCCATTCAGGTGGTCCGTGGATAGTTCCCTCTAACGTACATGCCTGGGCAGCCGCACATGAGAGAATGAAGGGCCACCCACCTAATTAGTGGAGCCGCACAGGCATGACTACACTAATTAGATGCCTGGACCCTGGAGAAGACACACATGTAAGGTGAGGTGGTGCCCTTGGGGGGAATAGAGGGTAGATGAGAGGGGGCAGTGGGGTGAGAAGTGGGGTTGGGGGGAATTTGGGATGTGCAGTGCTGCGGCAGCCAGAGAAAGCGGTGACTTTCCCCAACTCCAGGGCTGCGGCTGCTGGGGAGAAATGGCCCTCCTTCCCAGCCTCAGCCTCAAGTGTTCCATGAAAAAAAAAGTTTGAGAATCACTGGTTTAAACTACAAAGTCCTAGATGGCCATAGATGAGTTACAATAAAATAACTTGCTTTCTAAATATACGAGAGCTTTGGAAATATGTTACTAATTATGGGCATAGTGTGTAACAATATTGGTACGTAAGATTGACTAGACAGTTCGTGCTGAAATTTTCCAGGCTTGTTTTGATCTAAGGGGTTGAATGTTTGAACAAAAATAACTCAGCCACTTGAGAAACAAGCGTGCAGTAAATATACTTTTGCCATGATAAAAAAATGTTTGTAACCTTTTTTTAAAAAACAATTATAGTGCATCACAAGTTTGTGGTAGAAACCTTGCTAGAGACTTAATTCCTAGGTTGTAGATCTATCTTTTGGTGACCCAGTGAAAATTCCAGCCTTGGGGCTGTTGTAAATTATGCCAGCTGGGAACAGCTCCCTATGGGCTGTTACACTGCTTGGGATTACTGACGTGTAAAGTGTGCTGGCCATGCTACCAGCATGCCCATAAACAAATGGGAGCCTAGACAAATCCTGTGAGACGTGGAATGTGAAAAAAAGGATGTGTCTGGGTCAAGGATCTGGCCCTCTACTCTTTTGGATCCCACCTGTTGTGTATTCTAAGAAAACACAAGGAAAGAATTCAGGAGCAAACAGAAACGGGCATCTTTCCGGAATCTTCTTTGGAATGAACAAAGGATTAGCTTTTTGACTAATATTGATTGGAGAGATTATATGAACTGCGTCAGAAAGGGTAACTTTGTTGAGCTATTCTAAATGAGGTAAGGAAGCTGAATATTTTTCTCAACTGTTCATGTTTATCATTTCTGTATGTAGTATAAAGCAATAGGACAAGTTATTCGTCTGTCATAAGCAAAATAATTCAGATCTGTTCATAGCACATCTATTATACTATAAAATAGTTACATAGTAAATTATATTGTTTTAACTATGCGGGACCTGCCAAATGTGAGCCTCGAATAACAGTCAAAACAATGGACGTAGAAAAGGAGCATATCGGTCACTCAGTATAGCTGAAGGTGTCAAAGTGACATGGTCAGTGACTTCCATCACAGACACCACAATCCCCTGTTTGATCAAACTAATCATAGTGAAGTAATCCAAGTTCCTGTGAAAACTCAGATTATATTTGTGTTTTTGGTTTTGTTTTTTTTTAATGGCCTGGCTGGAGCCAGATTTATGTGGGTCTGTGTTTCAAACTCATTCCCTGACTGTTCATCTTACCATGTGCTTTCTAGAGACATATGGAGAGTTTGCCATCCTATTAAATAGGATGTTGTCAGAAAGTCCAGCATTTATACAGAGCAAAGACATGCAGCAGAAATTTTCTCTTGATTAAAAATATTTGTCTGATCTCATTTTGGAAAGTTAAGAAATATAGACTGGGATTTCTGTGGGGTCTCAGGGAATCAGATGTCTAACTCCCATTGACTTTCAGTGAGACTTGGTCATCTAACACCCTTAGGATCCTTTAAAACTTCCAGCCATAGTTAATAAGGACTACTCTTAAAGGGACTCATTGTTGTTTTAGGATTGCATTCTCCCCTTTCAGGGAAAACCTACGTGGTGGTGGTGGTGGAGAAATAAGCAGAAAACTCTGTGACGTTAATTTCTCTGCATGCTTCCCTTAAGGAGAAGGCTCTGGAGATTTGTGGAGGAGCCAGGGGATGGATGAGACTAGGATACCTGGTTACCTACATAGATCCCAGGGTAGTGCCGGTCAGGGACTCGATCCCCTTTCCCTGCCACCTGCATTTTATCTCCTGGATATATAGGTGAGATAATGCTGATATTGGCTAGTATTGTCTCCTGCATAGGATTTAATTGGGAAATCTGCTCATGTTAGAATGGAGAGGACTGCCAAAAGCAGCCCCCTTCCCACACTGGCACATCCCACAGACCTGCAGAGACATGACTATGTGGAGTGGGTTAAGTGGGACTTCTGCAGTTGAAAACTCATCATACCTTTGAGCAGCATCTATATGGTTTCTGCAGCATCACAACACTTTAAGGTATGCAGGGTGACTGATTTAATTAGCCTCTTCCACCCCTTCCAACAAATCAAAGGATCAATTGAAAGGTGTCTGCTTTCTAAGGGCATGTGGTCCGTATGAACCATCAAGCACAGTAATTGCCTTCTCTCCCAAACTAAAGATCCAACCTGAGTCAGTAGCTTTCTAGGTCGGTGATGTTTTCCCATACAGCTGAATGTTCCAGAACAAGATAAATGATTTGAGTGCATCAAATCTCATTACGTCAAATAAAAACTAAAGAGCAATAAAAACATTAAGGTTCAAATTGCACTGGATTGTCCTGTCTTACCATCCTACTTAGTTATATGTAATGTTTGTTCAGAGCTTCTTACGTATTGGAATTTGTACCTGTTCAGGCTCATACGCTGCATAACACACATGCATGTGGAACAGTTGATTTTACTGGTGTAGCAGTGGAGTTACAGATACAGTAGATCTACACTGTGCTTCCACAGAGAGCACATACAGGTTACTTTGTGTGCACTCTGGAGGCTTATGTCGGGTTTGCTCTCCTTATCTCTGCCTGATGGACACTACGGATTAAGTGGTGCTCATAGTTACGTCAGGTATAAAACTGGATCAACTCAACTGAACTCAGTGGAATTACTTCTCATTAACACCAGTGCAAATGAGAATGGACTTTGGCCCTCAGACCTTGGTTTACAATATAAATGTTAAGTATCAGAGGTGTAGCCATGTTAGTCTGGATCTGTAAAAGCAGCAAAGAGTCCTGTGGCACCTTATAGACTAACAGACGTATTGGAGCATAAGCTTTCGTGGGTGAATACCCACTTCTTCAGACATGCATCTGAAGAAGTGGGTATTCACCCACAAAAGCTTATGCTCCAATACGTTTGCTAGTCTATAAGGTGCCGCAGGACTCTTTCCCACTAATATAAATATTGTTTGCAGTGTTGTTGTAGCTGTGTTGGTGTCAGGATATTAGAGAGAATATCCAGGATGAGCTTGAAAGCTTGTCTCTTTCACCAACAGAAATCAAAGCTATTACCTCACCCACCTTGTGTCTTACTACAGATTTGGTAGTAAAGTTCTGATTTAACTCTGTTTTGGGAGAGATTTGGGGTTGTATCTGTCAGTGACTTTAAAAAATGATTTCTGCTGCCCTCTTAGGATAGGTTCTGAGGAGAAATTTTCACTGAAAAACCATCATGCTTCTGTTGAAGCAGCAGTTAATGATAAGAATTAGCTGTCGTGTCAATCTAGAGGGTGGTAGATCTGAGACCTATACTCTTCTGCTTGCAAACATGGATTTTCCTTGCAAGATGTGGATTGCAAAATATGGATTTTTTTTTAATTTAACCATCCAGTAGGCCCAAGAGGACTTAATTCTTATTCTGCCTCAAACCTGTGCATAGT